GTTCTATTCTATTTCTATTCTTTCGACTTTTTTAATAAAAAAATTGACCCTCTAACACTAGCGTTCTCTATTCTATTTCTATCGTGTTTTCTTTTTATTTATTATTAAAAAAACAACAAACAAACCCTTGCTACGTGTACGGTGTTAGACTAAGCGAGACGTCACAGCACTTGCATATCATTGCTCTGTTGTTGGGTTCGTTTGCTTCACATATACACTTTGGATAAAAGCATCTGCTAAATGACTAAATGTAAAATATAAAACAATATTAACTTGTTTATTGAACTGTTGTATAAAATCAGTGGAGCAGATAATGAGGAGAAACAGCACTCTTGCTGGTGTGATATTGCTAAACTATATCATGATATAAATATTATTCACTGCATGTGCTCATATCTTGAATTTAGGCTCATTTAACTGCATCTCGCAGTCAGTCGCCCTGCATCATGTTCATCAGCAATCGTTTTTAATCATTCTCAGGTCACTGTCACCTCAGACGTGGCGTTGTACAGCCGCTCCTTGGCCTTCAGCAGACTCTCGGTCATCTGGCTCTTGCGCGAGGGTTTCTGGCGCGAGTGTCCGTTCGCTCCCGGCCGCCGGTCGTCTACGCTAGCGGCTCGTCGCACCGATGCACGGTTCCTCGTGGGCGTCAGCAGCTGCTGCAGTTTCCCGGCCAGACCGCGGCTCGGAGACGACACGTTGTTGTAGTTTTCATCCACCGACTTTCTGTTCAGAGTCTCCCTCACTTCCACCGACCTGCAGAACAGGAGAAAACCCTCCAGCCATCAGTGTTAACCTGTCAGCGGCTTATGAATTCGCACAATAATAGCAGCCTATGTTTCAAATAAGTTGCTGAAATTCATCTGCAAATAATGCAATTGCAGTTAATTTTTGCTTCTTCACATTTTTCATCTGCAGGCACTCCTAGTTTCTGTACATTTAATTTCAGGACTCCAGAAGTTTTAATAGCTTAAACCGATGAATCTGCGTGACTTTTTCCCAATCGTTTTGATGATTGATTTACAAATGATTTACTCAAATGATTTACTGGTTCAGCATTAAAGGATCAAGAATTACTCATAATTTTGTTTATTTTAAATGATTTATTTTAATTGTACATTTTGGATTTAATTAATTGTAGTATTTTTTTAAACGTATTTATCTTAATATCACATTTTTTATTTAATTAATTTTAGCACATTTCTGTTGTTGTTTTTTTGTTTTTTTTTATTTTTACATTTAATATTTTTAAAATTGTATGGTTTAATATTTAAAATTAGATTTTTTTATATATATTTTTTAGTTATTTATTTTAATCAGATAGCTGTTGAGGAGGTGAATTAAAATAAGAAATATCTTTTTTTTTTTTTTTTACTTGTTTAAGCATGTTTTATATTATTTTAACTGATTTTAAGTCATCTTGAGGCCCCGGACCCCTGTTTGAGAGCCGCTGGTCTTGAGGACATCACAATAAATCAGTCTAATTATAGCTAATTATAATGAAGATCCACTAGTTATTCAGGTGCTTTCCCTGAAGAGTAATGATATGATTAGTTACTGTTTAAGAGGAGTAACACACTAATAAACACAGGTTTTATCCTGATTGTTTTTATTTTTAAATGATTTTAATTTAGAATTTAAAATTTAAAATTACAAAAATTTAATTTCATTTTACATTTCACCGATTTAATTTGTTAATAATAATAAAATATTAATAAAACATTTTATTTATTTTAATTTTACACTTTTATGATTCAATACATTTTCTAAAAGTTAAATAGTGTATAAAATAAAATTTAAAAATTGTTTTGTTTTAGTTATTTAAATTTTTTATTAATTTGTTAAAGTTAAATTAAATTAAATGCGAAATTTTTTTTTGATTATTTTAACACTACACTTTTATGATTTTATCAGTCACTCACTGCCTCCTGACGCCTGAACGCTGCTCAGACTGTTACTCTTGGCCAGACTCGTCAGCGATTCGTGGCTCGAGCTTTCACTCAACCCGCTCCAGCTGGACTGACGAATCAGAGCCAAGTGGGGGCGGGGCTTGGACAGTACGTCTTCTGTAAACAGAAGCAGAATGTGAGAATGTGACGCTGCTGACAGCTGTCAATCACGCGCTGGAGGCGGGGCATCTCTGACCTGCGGGGGTGCTGAATGATGCGCTCCTCTGCTGCTGTTTGATTGGCTGCCTGAACTGAGCCACGGCCAATACCACGTTACGAAGCTTCGCCCAGCGAAGACGCCCTCCCTGATTGGTGGATGGCCATTTGCTCTCTAGCACCGCCTACAGACGGCAGAATAAAACACAGACGCATGAGTAAAGACAAGACATTCATCTGTATGTTATATCAGGGATTCCCAAACTCTTCCATCAGCCGAACCTCTTTGAGCTTAAGCATCTCCTTGAAGACTCCCTAAGATTTTAAGTTCATATTTCAATAATTTAACAACACATTCACATGTTCATGGCTCTCTTGGTTAATGGTCACATGACATGCAGCTAAACATAACTCATCTTTTTTAGTAAGTGTTTTACTTTGATTTGATTTTAAAAACATTTATCTTAAATTTGCATTTTTATGATCTAATTAATTTTACTAAATGCTTTTTTGGGTGTTTTTATTTTATAATTATTTATTTATGTTAATTTTACATTTTTATGATTTCATTAATTCTAGTAAATTTTTCTGGTGTTTTTTATTTTTAAATTATGTATTTTAATTTGACATTTTTATTATTTAAAATTTAGTACTTGTTTTTTTAAATGATTAATTTATTTTTATTTTTTAAGTTCATATTTCAATAATTTAACAACACATTCACATGTTCATGGTTCTCTTGAGGACATGCAGCTAAACATATTTTTAGTAAATGTTTTACTTTGTTTTTATTTTAAAAAGATTTATCTTAATTTCACATTTTTATGATTTAATAAATTTTGATAAGTGCTTTTTTGGGTGTTTTTATTTTTAAATTATTTATTTATGTTAATTTTACATTTGTATGATTTAATTAATTTAGTAAACGATTTTGGTGTTTCTTATTTTTAAACTGTTTATGTATTTCAATTTAACATTTTTATGATTTAATATTTAGTGTTTTTTTTATTATTAAATTATTTAAATTTTATATTTTTATGACTTAAAACATTTTAGTAAATATTTTTGTTGGCTTTTATTTTTACATTACTTATTTATTCAAATTTTTTAGTAAGTGTTTTTTTTTTTATTGTTTTTATTTTTAAATTATTTATTTGTTTTAATTTGTACATTTTTATGATTTAATTAATTTTAGTAAATGTTTTGATTTTATTATTATTTATTTTTAATATTACATTTTTATGATTAAAAAAATAGTGTAATATTTTTAATTGTTTTTAATTTAAAATAATTTATCATAATTTTAGATTTTTAGATAATTATTTAATTTTAGTAATTAAAAAACAAATTAGTTATTTTAATTTTACATTTTTGTTTCATTTTTAGTAAATGTTTTTGATAATTTTTCTTTTCAAGTTATTTACATATTTTAATTTTATATATTTATGATTAATTAATTATTTTATTGCTTTTGATTCTTTTAAAATGATTTGTTTTATTTGCACATTTTGATAATTTACTGAATTATCTGCTTTTCATCAACTCATAAACCCCAGTTCGGGAAGCCCTGTATGAGTATGAAATACGTCACTTTATTGTAGTATCCGTATGTGATGGTGTTGGGCGTTATTCCCGCCCGCTTCATCTCCAGCAGAACTCTGACCGCGAGAACCGGCTGACCGTACTGACCACACAGCTGCATGAGGATACGGTAACACACCTGAGACACACACACACACACACACATCAGGAGCGAGACAAACTACAACACGCTTATTGCGTCTGCATCATTCATGTGTGTGTGTGTGTGTGTGTGTGTGTGAGTATGTGTGTGTGTGAGTGAGTGTGTGTGTGAGTATGTGTGTGTGTGTGTGTGTGT